AGAAAATTCACAGTATCATCAAATCTATAGTCAGAAAATAGATTCATGGTTGCTTAGACTTGGAAAATAGAGAGTTGATAATGAAATGGTAGCCTGCTTCTGAGTTGACAAATGATCACTAGTGATGGCTGCATATATCTTTGTACTGAAAGCCATTTAATTGTATAAATTAAGTGTATAAATTAAAAGATATGTTAATTACGTAACAATAATGATCTTATTTAAATAAAGAGAAGGAACGAATAGCATGGTAGTCCACATACTTATTAAGAGAAGCAAAAGGTCAAAGAAATCAAATTTTAAGAGCTTCTTGACTTTCTCCACAAAGGAATCTTGTGGGTTGTTCAGGGAATCGATGTTCACTCCAAATGATGTTACAGTAATCACATCCATGCTGTAGGCACCAAAGATGCTGAATAGAGAAAGACATGGAAAGTTAAAATCAGTGCCTCTTCCAAATCCTTCCACTACACATGCAGCAAGAAGTAGGAGTAAGTCCAAATACTCAGAGAAGACAAGCAGAGAGCCACACAAATTCAGTTATCTGATAGTCTATCAGATGAGTCCGTGATCCCTTCAAACTGACCATGAGGCCTTTATGAGTTGCAAATGAAATATTGTCCTTGTGCCAAGAGTGATGTGGACAGTGAGTTGAGTTAGACTCACCTCTGAACTCAAGAATTTCACCCACACAGGGATAAGTTCCATAATCAGACACACTACAGTAGCAGAAGTAGAATGAGGATGATCATAGTTGTGTACAAACTGAGCTTCAGCAGGACAAGTGTGGAGATACTGACTCAAAAAAGGTTACCTTGACCTTGGCAGTATTTTTTCTTCTAGAATATTCAAAGTCATAAATAGCAGCCAAACAAACCTCGGAGAATAGGAAGAGATCTTTTCTCCCCCAGCTGCCCTGTCTCCTCCTGGGAGCAGCTCCTTCCTGGATGAATAGTTGGAGTTGTGACTCCAAACTCTTGCTTTGTCTGCTCATTGCACTAGCTCAGCAGTTGGGATTCAGTTCTGTGTCAGACAGTTTGAGGGGCTCCTGCTGAAGCTTGGAATGCCAGAGCTGCCCTGCTACTTACTCTTTCAAGTTGATAAACTTGCCCTTCTCTGAGTCCAGTCTCATGTTTTTCACCAACACATCTCCATACTGGTTAATGATGGGGAACATCTATGCACAAAACACAAGATTGTCCATAGTTAAGTGAGGAGACTCAGTCCCCAAGGCTATGCCTTTCCCAGAATGAAGAAATATGAGACATTTATAATGAATCTCACTATATATCTTCTAAAACATAAAGACAAAAGAACATTTTTAGGAAGTTCAAATTCAGAGGACTATCCCTTGGAAAGGGACTACTATCTATCTCACTTTCTACCCATACCCAAATTTATTCTTTAAGTTTCCAATGAAAAGCCCTCCTATTTTATTACCTCCTTGAGTTTTCCACTGGTTAAGGTTGGAGACAGAAGTGTTCTTATTCTCTTCCACTCCTCATACTCAGACAAAGAGATGGCTTTTTTCATAAATCCCACTGGAACAAAATTCTAGAGTCCACTGGAAAAGAGATTTTGTCCTATATAAATGTGGAGGTCTCCACAGTTGCAAAAGTTTGTTAAAAAAGCATCATTTATTTAAAAAATGTTTAGTGACATCCTACTAGCTAGCCCTATGTCAGAAACTCAATAGTATTTATTCCAAGTGCCTAAACTCCTGTGAGTTTGGAAGAGACACCCAGGGACCTCACACTGTTTTTGGACTTTATATTCAAACCTTTGTTTAGATGAAAAATTTTCACTCTGTTGAAAGCTTTTTCTAGGGGAATAGACGTAAAGAAGACCTAAAAAAACATAGTACAACCCCCAGGGCTGTGCAGAGCAGAAATCAGTTGGTGACAGATACCAGGTGTTCTTGGTCAACTGTATGTTACCTAAGAACAGTTATGTCTTTACATGCATTTATAGCATAAGCATCTTGAAAAAGGGGTGGTGGTTAGATATGATAATTCTAAAAATACAAATATTTGAAATTTAAAGGATTGAAATATAAGTGTAATACAGAAAAAAACAAGTTATTAATGGAAGTCCTTCCAATATTTTCTACAAGGGCAGAAAGAGAAAAGAAGATAATTCTTATTTTCACCTAGGTGCTAGCCCAACAAAGCAAAACCCTTGAAATTTACTTCTATGATCCAAAATATATTTTTAATTAAAATGTATGCTTCCAGCTGGGCATAGTGGTGCATATCTGTAATCCCAGCAGCTCAGGAGTATAAGACAGGATTATCACAAATTGAAAGCCAGCCTCATCAA